ATATACGTGCAGAAATTTGCTTTATTTTTTTAATTAAATTACATGTAGAAATATATGCATATTAAAATTTGATAATCTTAAAATTGAATTTATACAGTGTGTCCCACTTAAGCATTAGGCACCCATGTAAAATTGTTATTTGTTGACCGATTTGTTTCAACTTGTTTTTGTTTGATAGATCTCAGAAAAAGGAGTAGAATGTATACTTTCGGTGTTTTCGTGATCTAAGCCATAGCCAACTGAGACGCGTTTTATAGGAAGAAAAAACATGAAGTAATATTAGCGATTTTTTTCGACAAAAACTGCAGTGTTGCAGAAAATTAAACCTTCATTTTTTAAACCAACTGAAGATTTATTTACGAAACACATGCATTATTTGAATATTGTGTATCAGTATTATTCAAATTAGTAATAAAGGAAACATCATTATTATTATTATTGTTACTATTTTTTTTACAGTTACGACTATTAATAGAGTATTTGATGAAACTGGAAATGTAAGTAAAATTCCCAACCAACATCGTAATAGTGTGCTTCCAATAAACCAAATAATTCTTAACTATTTTAATGAAAATTCGCGGTCGATTATTAGAGATGTCCGCATTAATTTAAATATGTCTAGAAATCGAATTTGGAGATGTTTAAAAAAAATTGGAGGAACCAAATTTCATCACAGTCTAGAAATAAGAGACAGAGAAAGAAGAATACAATTTTGTACACTGATGAAGCTACAAACGGTATTGTTTCTTCGCAAAATATTAGAATATGATGTGAAGAAAATCCGAATTGGGTTATACAATGCAAAAGGCAGTATTCCGCTAAGGTGAATATTTGGTATGGCATTTTAAATCTAAAAATCATTGGGCCTTAACTATTTTGAAGAGAATTTAAATGCGGATGATTTTTGGAGATTTGTACAAAATAAATTTATGGACAAAACCAATGACTTGCCTCTAAATCATCGCCTTAATTTACATGTACAACTAGATGGAGCACCTGTCTATAATTCATAGTGAGAAACTGGCTGAATGAACATTTTCCCAATCAATGGATTAGAAGTAATAGCCGTTTAATTCATTGGCCACTGCGGTCTCCAGATCTCACACCTCTCGATTTCTTTTGTGGGGAGCTGGAAAAAATAAAGTTTATGTTACGAGGCCCCAAACGCGAGAAGAACTTTGTGAACGTATTACAGACGCATGCCGTAACATTAATATGCAACAGTTACGAAAAGAAATAATTAATAGTCGTCGACGTATTGAAAAGTGTTAAATCATAATAATAAGTTTCATTTATTACTAATTTGAATAATACTGATATTCAAATAAGTCATGTGTTTCGTAAATAAATCTTCAGTTGATTTAAAAAATTAAGGTTTAATTTTCTGCAACACCCTGTTTTCTATCACAACAAAAATTGGTATAGTAGGGTTTTAGATAGTCCTGAATAAGAATCCGTTGCAGTTTTTGTCGCAAAAAATCGCTAATATTACTTCTCGTTTTTTCCTCCTATAAAACGCGTCTCAGTTGGCCATGGCTTAGACCACGAAAAACCGAAATTATACATTCTACTCCTTTTTCTGGAATCTATCAAACAAATAAAAGTTCGGTCAATAAATAACAAATTTACATGAGTGGCTAATGCTTAAGTGGGACACACTGTATATCGTTAAACTTCAATTATACTAATCATTTTATTTGTAATATATCCGTATACATTTGAAGAAGAATGCTTAATTGGAGTAAATCGTATTAGCCCTATTGATATAGCAGTATTAAAGGAAATCTAATAGAAAAGACCAACTGGTGTAAATTCAACTAGGAACTAATAAACGAAGACAGATCGGCCTTCTTATTAACGCGTTGCATTCGGCCTCACATCCGAACTAATTGAATCTTTCCCGTAATTCATCTTATTCGTTGACTTTTTAGAAGGGAGCTAATGCCGATAAATTAATATTTTTCAAGTAAAACTACAAATTAGCATTATTTTAATAGGTAATTCCGGGAGCAGAAAATGCTTGGAGGAATCGATTATAAGTTCTTCCATTCCATTAGTCAAATTGAACAAAGAAATTTAAAACCCAGACGAGCACTCTTAAAAGTGTATTAGTTTGTTCAGAAAATATTGATTTGAGTTAGAAAATGAACTGAAAACATACACCGAGGTCAATATTTTTATTGTTTTTTTCCATTAAGTATGATTGCTCTTATTACTTTAAAAATTAATCCATATCGGAAAGTAGGTAGATACTGTATAAACTTTAACTAAAAAATATTATGTTATGTATTAGTATCATTTTATATATTTTTTCAAGATGATTCAAAATGACAAGGGTCCCAAGTGATGACAAGAAATGAGTTAAAAATTATCGACCTATTACAGTTTTAATCTATACATCAAAATTGTTTGAATTTGTCAAATATAAGAAAGCATAAATTTTCCTCAACACGATTTTTTAGTTGCAGATCTATAGAAATAAATTTGTCCTTTCATTAGTAAAATCAATTTAGCATTTAATGCAGAAAAGTATGTTGGCACTGTGTATACGGCCTTTACTAAAGTCTTCGAATCGAGTTAATCGCGATATGTACTATTGTCCAAATTGCATACAGTTGGCTTAAATGACCATTTAGACAATTTATTTTCATATATAGGTACACAACAAAAATCAATTTGTTTGTTAACAAGGCATTGAATCGACAGTTTTTTTAGCGGACTGCGGCGTACCACAAGTTTCAAATTAAGAACCACTACTTCTTTAAATTTTCCAATGAAAACATCATTAGAATACATTCTCATCAAGTATGCTGATGAAACTACTACAACATGACGTAATTTATAACTAGTCTGCAGAAAATAAATTATCTTTCAATTTAGACAATTGCAAAATAATGACGTTCAGTAAAGACAAAACACCTGAGCAATATGTTTATTCCATGAACAGTAACATAATTTAAGAATTAGTCCAAAAATCTAAGAATTTATTTTCAAGCAAATTTTAGTTTTAAAAATTATGTGAATATAGCAATGCATCATATAAATTGTTAGGTTTCATTAAAAAAGCAACTGGCGATTAAAAAAATTATAATTCCATTTAATTAATTTTACATGCACCCATAAATATAAATCTATCGAACTATTGGCTACTAGTATGACGGGCTGTTTGACGTTTCCAGAGACATATCGCTCTCTTCCTCAGAAAAACTAGTGACTGGTCCATGGTGTTCCGTAGTCATTGGATTTTATCTGGTGTCCTTGATTTTTCCTGATGAATCGTTTCCAGGTAGTTTTAATCCCTCGTCGTAGACGAAGACTTGTCCGAAATCATCTCTCTTACCAGAATTGTGGTATTAGTTAGACCTAGCACGTGTTCTGTATCTGTCCTGCTCCACATTTTTCTACGTTGTTATTTTTTGAGTGACACTTGTGCTCCTTTAACCTCATACATCTTCTCATATGTAAATATATACTTTTTTTCATATTCACGGTCTGCAATATATACTGGCTGTCCCTTTTGTTTACGTTTTTTTTATTTAATTTAAATGCAGGTGTTTTTCTGATGGCCCGTTTGATGTACCTGTTCGTGATACTTCTTCAAAAAATATATAGGAGATACTCGTCTAAACAGATTTTGCACGACTGTGAAACCGTACCGCTCGTGGCAATTCGCGCGAATTGAACGAAGTCTGTAGGGACCTTTAGATTTTCTGAACGTACAGACAGGAGTGTAGTGTGTGTGTGCTGTTCGTTCTACTTAGTATGTATCACATGGGCATGCTGACCACAGCCACAAATGCTAAAGGATTCTTATCCGACTAATAATTTGTTTAATTTGTTTTCAGACCGGGCGGCATGGCATATGAAAAACAAAGCGTATGAAGGATCAGTAAATGCACAAAGTGGACAAAACTGCGTCAAGAGAAATGATTATAATAATTCCAAATAGGTTAATTTGCAAATAATTATACCAGTCTCATGGTTCTACCATTAACTGGTTTAATAAACTGATATGAGAAAACGTATTTCTTCTCAAAAACCAATTCTTGTACCATTTTGTACGATTTTTTCTTCCTTTTCTTTTTTTACTGCTATCACTGCCGCCTTTGCTAGGAGACACTTTCCAGGTACCATAGTTTGTGTGTTTATCTGAACGTACTGTGCTAGTCGCTCATAGAGTGGGGAAAAAAGTACATTCTTGATTCGCGCGATTTGATCTGTACGGTCCTGTTCGCACGAATAAATAAAAATTTTATAAATTTCTCGACAACGGAAAGAGTTAATAATATGAAATTTTATAAATATTATAAGAATATTGAATAATATACAAAAACAATATGAAAAAATATCTCATATCTCAGAAATAAAACAAATTTATTTGAAAATGATGTGATATTTTAGATTAATTAGGAACTATTTTACGTTTACTATTTTATGATAATTGCAACCAGGAAAAAATCAATATTACACATTTTACTGGTTGTTTCTTTTTTATTTTTCACTTGATTTGCCTAAATAGAAAATATAAAAAAATGTTATTTATAACAAATGTTCGATGACTTGGTAAATACAGATGTTTGTAATTTGTTGTGCCTTTTATTTAGTTGATATTTTAATATTTTCGCCTATAGAGGATGTCCCAAAAATATAATAAAATTTTTTCCAAGCTAATTAATCAATTTTACCCAATTATCAAAAGCAACTTTTGTCTGACATTTTTTTCGAAATCCACTTAGTTTCTACGATTATAAATATTTTTTGAATTCTGAATGTTTGTTAAAAATAGTTTGTTGTTGACTATGAATAAATTGATATTTAGGTTAACAAATAAAATAAGGCAACAAATCATTTCATAAAATATTTGCATACGTTACTCAGGTATTTCTTTCCATATGCAATTCGTCAGTTTTGGAATACCCTGTATGTCTGCCTTGCCTTTTATTGCAACGACAGACTATAATTTTGAAATAGATGCATAATAAGAAATATGTCTTTTTCAGCCCCGAAAATTCCAACTTCCACGATGGCGGAATACCCGGCCACTTCCCCAAATAATCCCAGCATGGACTCTCAAAACCCTGCGTCGAGAAGCTCGTGTTTAGGTTCCAATGCGTCCAGCCTACTAAGCCTAAACTGCCTCAATACCGGCAGGACAAATTTTACGAACAAACAACTTACAGAATTAGAAAAGGAATTCCATTTCAACAAATACCTAACGAGAGCTAGACGCATCGAAATCGCTTCAGCGTTACAACTGAACGAGACCCAAGTGAAGATATGGTTCCAGAATAGACGAATGAAACAGAAAAAGAGAATGAAGGAGGGACTAATTCCGCCAGAACCAATTTTAAATTCGGGAAGTAACAGTAACTCACCCACGTCCACCAATGCACTGCAGAATGAGTCTGTAGCTGGTAGTAATGAAAACAGTCGAGAATCAAATTAAACCATTTTAGGACACTGTAAAAACAGATTGTAGTTTGATTGTAATTGGCGAATTGTTTTATAATATCTCGAAATAAACTAAAAAAAACACAGTTAAAGAAATTATAGGTTAGATTTACAAAAACAGTCAACTTTATCAATTTCTAACAATTTTAATAAGTAAACAGTTTTTATTGACGTTTGTATCCTAATAAGTAAGGTACAGAGAAACAAAAGTAAACAACGTTTGAAGTACAAGAAATTGAGTACAATTTATCTAAATATCGACATATACTTCCTATGTTGCCATCTTTATACGTAAATTGACTTTCATGATGAACTAAATTGTCCTTTAAATTTAAAGTCAACTTTAGTATGTTTGTGAAACCCGACGTAAGTATTTTAATAAGCAGGACCATATTTACCCACAGGCGCATTAGGCGCAAAATGGGAACTCAGTCTCTCTAGAGAGCCTCATTTTAAAACTTTACAATATAGGATGTAATTTTCAATGTATCGAATGTTGCATAAAACACTCCAATTCGAGCAAAAAAACAATTTGATATAACCAGGGCGTATAGGGAGAATCGCACTGTCTACATGTCAAAATAATAAGAAAAAACTCGAATGTTGTTATGCGATTTTTATTTGTTTTCAAGCTTTCACGTACATTTCAATAAAAATAAATACATATATTGATACTCTATTAACCATAACATTCTTTGATTAAATGTTCAAAAACACCACCACCTCTAAACACTTTCTGCTTTGCTTCATCTACGAAGGACCTCTGTAGCTCTCCTCTTTGCTGCATGTCTTTCTAGTCTAGTTCTAGATCTCCAGACCTATGTTGTGAGGTCTGAAGATCTTGGAGGCCAACTAATAGGACCACCGAGGCCAATCCAACACCCTGGAACCCTCTTATTCAAATCTAGCTTGACTAGATGAGTGAAATGTGCAGGAGCTCCATCGTGCTAGTGGTAGATTAGCATTCTCATCTTTATAGGAACATCCTCTACTAGTAGGTACTTGTAATTCATTTTGTAAAAAAATTAAGTAGTGGTCTCCTGTGAGTAGATTCTCCGAAATTAAAGAGCCAATTATCCAACTAGAGGTCATACCACAGCCAACTATCAATCATACCGCACCACAAGTTTACCGAAAACCTATGCTTCATCTGTAAAAAGTATGCGGGATACAAGATGATTATTATTATTGACTCGACAAAACTCGATACGTTTAGTGATCTTCCGGTTGTAGGTGTTGTACCCTCTGTACATGGCATACCATAGGCCATAGCCTTCGCAGGGTTTTTATTAGTCTTTTTTGTAGAATGTCCAATTGAGTAGAAATTCTTCGTGAGCTGGTGCATCATCTTCTAATAGACCGATAATATTTTCTACTTCCTCTTTCTGATTTCGCACAGTTTGTTGAAAACCCTGATGAATACATTTTTATCATGACATCTGTGATATGAAAATCGTTGACAATATTCTTTAATAGCAACATTACAAAATTTGAATATGTTCTTGGCATTTTGTAACACCTTAATCGTACAAACGTGTAAGCAAATATGAAACTATTGCAACATAAAATAACACTGATAAACATCCTACTTTTGAATTTGGAACATGATATACTCTGATTTCAAAATTTTAAAATTTGTGTTATGTTATAACTTGAAAACAAATGAAAATCTCATAACGTTCGAGTTTTTTCTTATTATTTTAACGTGTAAAATCCATTCCTATATGCATCCCTATATCCTTCAAATCAAATCAGTTTTGATAGCTTCCTTATTACTATCTTAAATGAACGTTTTTAGAAGTTTCTGCCTATACTACCCTTCACTTTATCTGAGTCTAGAGTTAATAACAGATACTAGACGTAAATTAAATTTCCAAAATTTTATTTATTTTTAGGATCCCGCAAGTTTTTGCAGCCTATTATTTTCTTTCAAAATTTGGTAACTCGAGGGTCAAACGGAATGTAAACGGAATCAGATAATTTAAAGCATTGACTGGATATTCAGAGATTCTGGTTATGTTCTCGTTTTTTTTTAAGATTTAAGTACTTTAAAATAAAAATTTTAATAAAAAATATAGGTACTTTCCAAATGCTCTATGAATTTTCTTTGAGTATAATAAACTTTTTAACATGTTTGTCGGTTTTAAACTTTTTTATAATTTGACGACGAAATGTCTAACAAAAGTTACACCACTTTTGGTAGTACATCTGTCAACAATATATGGAATGCAGTGTTTGGCCTAAGCACTACCCAACTTGCATTTTTTTAATGGAAAACGCATTATTGCATTTTCAAATACCTCGCTCAATATTACGAATGAATTGGTACCGTATTTAATCCTTAGCTTTGTTTTTGCCATTGTTCAACTGTTTTCGAACAATGTCCAATTTGAGACACTTCTGACTGAAGAGAGATAAAAAAACAACATTATTTTACTAGTGTAACTGTAAAAGATGCAGCCTTTTCGACAAAATCAAGTCTATGTGCGATAATATTTTTCATCAACCGAATACTTAATTGCAATCTGTTTTTACATTTTATTTCTGTATTTATCGCCAAAGAAGTACGTGTAGTTTCGAGGAAAAAGCTTTAGAACAAATTATTCCTTAGTGATTGTAAAAAGAAACCTAATGTAAAACAAATTAATTTACTTAGGTAATATTTATTTATTTTTATTTAAAAGTATAAGTTAACGAGAACAGAAGTATATGTAAATATAATAAAAGTCATATAATATACTGAGATTATTTCCACAAGAAATTAGACATTCTTTATACAATAATTTGTTAAAAACTTATATGTTTAAAACTATGTAAGAAATTAAACTTAGCACTATATTTATAGATACATTTTATGTGATTGATATTTTTAGTAATTAATGATTACGTACTTATAAGTTGTATAAATATGTACATATTTCTAACCGTTAGATTAAGTTGCTCAGGGACTGTAATGTACTTATCGATTAATAAACTAAAATCCTAATGTCTCTATATTCAGTATTTTTACTCAAAATGCTTCAAGTCGTATTAGAAGTTAATGATCTTCTACACAAACTTGTGAAATGTATCTAAAATTGAAATCCGAATAAAAAATGTGATTCATCATTATTTTCTTTGTTCGATAGTCTCACAATAAAATTTATGAACCTTTTGAAAATTATATACTTTCCTCTTTAATACAGATATTTAGTAACAATTTTCAGTGACCTTTTTTTCAATATTTTTGATGGCATAATTAGATATTTTCACTGTTATACATACAGGATGTCCCTGAAAAGGATGGACAACGCTTGACCAGAGGTTCCTTGAATGAAAATAAGACTATTTATCCTAACTTACCTATATACAAAAGCGCACTCCTACTGAGATATAGCCTTCTAAATACAGAACAGATAACCTAGTTTTTTTCAAATAATTTGAAAACTGTTTTTCTTAGAAACCTTGGAGAAAACTCTTAGAAAACAAATTTGGTACACATATTTTTTTATATAAAAATTTGGTGATAGTACATACAGGGTCGGAAAATCCCCATGGTTCATCGGCCGTTACGTGAGAGCGATAAAGTAAGTCATAGAAATCCGTGCGATAGAGAAAGATGGCTATAATAAAGGCATCTAATAGTCACCACCCATTTCGCCCTTCCACAAATAAGAAGTGGATCTTATTTGTGGAAGGGCCAAGTGGGCGGTGACTATTAGACGCCTTCACTATTGCCATCTTTCTCTATCGCACGGATTTCTATTACTTTCTTTATCGCTCTCACGTAACAGCCGATGAACCATGGGGACTTTCCGACCCTGTATACAAAATGTTCTCTTTCTAGTGCCTGTGCGCAACTGGCTATCCCGTAATTTTTTTGTGTGTACGCCAGTAAGGTCAGAATTTATATTTTTTAAAATAAGCACTATTTTAGAAGATCTTTTGCTCTTACAAAATATAAGCAAAAATTCCGATTTGTAAAAAATAATTTATAACTGCAAGCCTCAAAGCAGGGAATAATAATGAAAAATCGTCACATTAAAAAAAAAATAACTACACATTTTTAGTCTTAGTATTTTCAATCAATAAAATAAAAAATTAACACTAGTATTTGAAATAAACAGTATCAACTAATAATGTAAGAAAGTCAACATTAATATTTTATACATATAAACCTAAATTGCTATTTGTAATCACATTAAAATAATATTACAGTAAATGTTCAAAGTTACTTCCTTGTTCTTAAACGCAAGCATTAGTTCTTAGAAAATTAAAATGAATTTTATCCAATAATTGTGCATTACCTCTCATAACATTAGTTTTTGTATTCTTTCCCATAATTGGTTTCTGTATTTACTAAAAAGTTATAAATTGTTGTCCTCAACGCTCCCCAAAAGAAATAATAATTACATGGGTTTAGGTCGGGGGATCGAAGTGGCCATTTTAAAGGGGCATTATTTCCTCTACCTATCCACCTGTTAGGATAGTAACCTGTAATAACTGGTCTTTTAATACTCTATTAACGGGACTTTTTGAAGGCCAACCTCTACCGCTAAACGCCTTGTATTTACTTGCGAAATTTCTACGACCCTTTCCAAAATTTGTGCCTCAAGCTGGATAATTCTGGCTGTACATTGTCCACGATTTAATGTTGCAGGTAAAAAACGTCCTGTTTACCGAAGGCGTCTCTCCGCATTAGTAAATGTTTTGTGATTTGGAATTCTACAATTAGGAAATCTTTCAGCACATGTTCGAACAGTAGTAGGTACAACAATTTCCTTCACAATAACCCAAAACTAATACCAGTTTGTTCAGCAAAAGTATAAATTGCAATAAAAAACAAAGTAAGCTAAAATCAAATCACACCTAACTTGACACTGAACCTTTTAATTATCGTTATGAATTTGTTTCTTTGTTATATGGCACCTGGTACTAGACTGTTCTAATTATTATCTTAAACTGATTTTATATTATTTAATGTGTAAAAAATGTCATTTTTACTCAAAATCCATAAACGATATCAAAATTTTGTAAGAGGCAAAAAATCTTCTAAAATAGTGCTTATTTTTAAAAATATAAATTCTGTCATCATTGGCGGACACACAGAAACGTTACGGGATAGCCAGTGCCGCACAGGCACTAGAAAGAGAACATCCTGTATATGTATTCTCACCAAATTCTATATTTACATTACCCTTATATAAAAAATATGTGTACCAAATTTGTTGTTTTTTAAGAAAAACAGTTTTCAAATTATTTGAAAATAACTAGGTTATCTGTTCTATATTTAGAAGGCTATATCTCAGTAGGCGTGCACTTTTGTATATAGGTAAGTTAGGCTAAATAGTCTTATTTTCATCCAAGGAACCTGTGGTCAAGCGTTGTCCATCCTTTTCAGGGACACCTTGTATATTCAGCTATTTTCATTTAATCGCCAATTGTAAGAATACATAAATATATTTATACATTTTTACCCATTAAGACGTACTCTGAAATTAAAATGGTAACTAAAATGTAGGTATACTTTTACATATTTAAATCATCCACATACAGGGTGTATTTAAATGAAGGAGCATACATTCTATTTTGATAGTTTTGGACCCAAAATGTGATAATTATGCCAAATGTACCTTGGTCTACAGTTGCTTCAATTAGAAGTTATAATGTGTTTAAATCTTTGAAAACCATTACAAATACGCAAATATCTCGAAAAATATTTGACGCAAATTCATGAATCTTGGCAGAGACACGTCAATTTCGGCGGTGCTGAATATTTTGTAAATTCGATAGATGCAATTGTATTTCAGAAAAAAAAATATAAATATAATATAAAAAAATAGCCACAGGGTGGCCCTGAAATGCATGTACCAGCAAGCTACCCTAGATTCTTAAGGTTAAACTACGACGATTTACGCTAGTTTACCTTAATGCAAAAATGCACCGCAAGGGCGCTATGGGGCCCCAATGTCTATTGAAAAATATCAATAATCAGTAAACGGAAGAGTTGAACAATTAGAAGAAATTTGGTATGTGAAAATATACTGGTAAAAGGCTTTCCTAATGTTAATTACTGACTTGCACAAATGCCTTAAACTGGATACCTCAGTTAAAAAACTGTTCATATTTTATTTGAGTATTTATCTGATTGCCACAATTTTTTTGTGGTGAAAGCTAAAATTTTTTAAATAAATTCTGTCTTCCAAAATTTTAATAACTCATCTAGGATGGTTTGCTGGTACATGCATTTCAGGGACATCCTGTATTATTCTTAAAATGAGTAACTTTAAAACGGTTGTAGAAATTTTTCGTTGGAAATACAATTATTAAGAATTAAAAACATTGGCGTAACATGCAAATGAAGCAACTTTACTATACCTTAGTATATTTATATTAGTTTTCTAATTTTGGCATCACGCTTACCTAATAGCATTTACCACTATTATTTCAATGTATCTTATATAAATTACTGATATATACAAAGGAACTGGTATTTCCAATTGACAATGGCATGTACAAATTTAATAAATTAGCACAGGGTGTAAGATGTCCTCTTGCTTTTGTATGTCAAATTCGATATGCCATTAAAAAACACTATGGTGTATTTTGTTCCAAATTACAACTAATTACAAAAAATAAATAATAACATTTTGTCAGACAGAAAACAACCAAAATAAATCATAGAAATAAATCTAAACTTTATTAACTTTCCAACAAAAAAAAATGTACTGGCAGGTGGAAGTAATGACTGTCGATCAATAAATTATAGGATCAAGTATATTTGTGTTTTATATTTCTAACATTCTTAAGGCAGCTGTAATATAAGAATCATCGAAAGAATAACACTAATTGCAAGACTTTGTAATGATGAAGAGGAATTCCATCCGCATTCAATTTCAGCCTTAAGGACCTCAATGATCGTATTATTATCTTTATTTGGGCATATTGCGGTCCTCAAATCATCATCAACATGTCTACAATTATAATCAGGATCAGTTATGTAAGGTGGTGCACTTAGACTATCTTCACACAGATATTGACGACGTTTCCGTAACCAAACTTCAATCCATCTGAAAGCAAAATAAGTAAAAATCATACTATACCTGGACAGTAAAATATTGCAATGGCTATAGAGGGTGTCTGCAGTATAAGTGCATGTATGTTTAACAAGTGATGGTACAGATCAAAATGAACGAGAAAGTTCTATGCACTATTCTACCCTAAACTTAATCGTTTTCGAGAAAAAACTATTTGTCTGGAACTAACTAACGCTTTTAAGCGTAATAATATCTCCAATATCCAGTCTCTCCAAATATCTTATTTATGCAAAAATGTCATGATAATAAGAATAAAATATCACATTTTGTGTTTTTTAATAATATTGCTCAAGTCTAACAGTCTGACAACCGATAACTTAACTCCATATGTTGTTTATCAATATAAACGATATTCAGTTGTGATTCACTTTCCGTTGTTTTTATTATTTCGAATCTATCTCTACTAATTGTCGAGGTGTTAAATTGTCTTATTTTAATTATGTATCAGTTTATTAAAAATAAAACAAATGTTAGATGTTCTGCCTTTTAAATTGTACTGAAGAAATTTATAATGTTTTATTTATATCACATTTTCCATATAGATACAGGTTCATACTTAATATGGAAAAAACGTTCAGGTGCAGATTCCTAGTATCTCTGAAGATGTTTAACGGAGTGTGATTAGATATAGGATGATCACTTATTTAAGGAATGTAAAAATTCACTGAATTCAAATATAAGTGCGTTAACCAATGCATTGGTGGGCATACCGGAAGTCATTATCACTAAGAACCCCATAAATTTGAAGCTACTAACATAACTCTTATACTACTCATTTTGGAAACAAAGTTCATTGAACATTTTATTTACTATGTAATCATAAATAGTCCGAAAAAATTCCTAATGCACAAATTTTGCATTTTGTTGGAGGTAACACGAGCCACAACTCTGGAAAAAAGTCTACGTTAATGATTTTCTTCGAACATCCCATGATAATCCATCGTATGTAAAACCGCATTTCTAGAAAAAAATATCTTTAAACTTATTTTACTTTTACTTCTAGAGTTGTTTTAGGTTTATTTAAATGCTTGGTAAAGGTTAATGCAAGTTAAACAAATCGTAACTTGAGAATAATCCTTGTATTTCGAATAAAATGGAGCAAATCTTTTCTTCTTAGATTTATCACAGCTAGTGATCAAACTAAATAACCCGTTGTGGAATTTCCGAGGCCTTATGATAGTAATCCCAGTATCTCCACCGACACTACCCCACAAAAAAAGTGGGGGGTCCGAAAGACAAGACCATGGTATCCATATATTTTTGGGGAGGTTAAGGTCAGTTCAAGGTCAAGTGTAGAGAATCAATCACCAATAAAGTAAACCTACATATATGTTTTTGAGGTCGTTGAATCCGAATCCGGTGTCCGTTTGACTCGATCAGGTCTGCTAAATACTCTCAAATTCTAAACCCAAAACACTCAAGTTTTGGATTTATACGTATTTAAATTTGAGTAACAAATAAAATTAAAGAAGAAGCTTCAACTCTGAGCCCGTGACTCTCGAGTTAATTGTTTTGACAAAACAAAATTTTAGTATTAAAAAGCCTAATTAAGTAAGCTTTAAACGAGTTAGTCCATTATTGCTTCATGTTCATTAATATAGACAGCGAGTCCGTGTCGATTGAAATCTATGAGAACAGTTTTTCAAGATAAGAGGTTTTTTGCCTTGATCAATCACATGAAATCACTACATCTTAATATTATGATATCGAGACTATACTACTCTCTTTTGTCGTATCGGACTATTTTGTTGTCAAAAGATCTCCGAATGATTTCTTTTACGTTTTCTCGATTTCAATGGTAAATCTCGTTTTAAAGACCAGCAGTAATCGACTAACATGTTTATATCCCATATGCCTTGGTACAGTCGCTCCATTTTTTTAATACCTTGGCCAAATCTTTCTCCCTGTTCCCCATTGTAATCACCCAAAACACTTTAGGTGATCAAGATTTCTTCGATACGTCAAAGAAAACATACTTCGACAATGCAAGAATAGACTATAAATCAATCAACATACGAAGATGCCTATAAAGATTTGTTTTGTTTTGAACCTCAAAGTGAAGAATTTAATTGGGTTTGAGGAGCATATTGGTTTAGTTTGTTGTTGTTGGTTCTCTACATTCGACCTTGAACTAACCTTAACTTAGACCTGATCGGGTCAAACGGATTCGGATTCAACAACCCCAAAAACCTATTATAGATATATTGATTTACTTTGTTGACAAATGGATTCTCTACATTTGACTTTGAACTGACCTTAATCCAGAGCGAATCGGGTGAAACGGACACCGGATTCCGAGTCAGCAACCCTAGAAATATATAAATACCGTCTTTCGGACCTTCCATTTTTTTTTTGTGGGGCTGTGTTATTAACGCATTTATATCCAAATTCTGTCTATTTTTACATTTAGTTAGATAAATCAATAATCCAAGTTGTATCATCCTGCATTAAACGTCTTTAGAGATATTTAATTAAAAACGTTTCAAATTTAAATACAATGTATATCGAAAACGAAGCGTTTTCGAATATATGTTTACAGACATTTTTTATTTTTTACAAAGAATGTTAACGAGAATTTTTTTGCAATATTCTATACTAGCTTTTACCCGCGGCTTCGCTCGCATTGAAGCCATTAAATAAGTATCAGAGATCAAGGGTAAAGGTATAATAGAAATGAATCAATATGATATGAAAAATGACACCTAACCTGAAACAATTAATATAGAAAATCTTTCGTAAAAAATATTTTTTTTAATAAAAAGTATCCTATGTTACTTCTAATACCTCCAAGAATATGTGTACAAAGTTTCATGATGATCGGTTAAGTAGTTTTCGCGTGAAAGCGTAACAAACTTATTAAGTAGGGAAAGTAGGGATAGGGATGTGAATAATCTTATGAAGCATGAAGTATTTGTGGCAACCAGTATTCAGACAGAGCTTTAACACACGCTACAGCGCATGTTGCAGTGTCCCAGTGTATTTAGATACTGGTAGTGTTATTCATCGCTGTAAAGAACGACCACTGTAAAAAATGTTCTTGAAGGTGGAAGAACAGAGGCTAGATACTGTTGATGAATAATTATCATATAACCACAAGAAGAGTAGCCTATCAAACTGATGTATTTAAAACACAGTACCTACATAAAATACTACATACAGACAACAATTATTGTACCCATATCATATTCAATGAGTGCAAAAATTGGCAGTAGCAGATTTTGTTTTTTTTAACGAATCACAATACTTCAATATTTTCATAATACTCATCGATGGACTGACGATAGTTCGAATAAGGTTTTACAAGCAACACAAACCTATTAATGTACTGCCGGCCTAGGAGCAGACTATTTAATCTAAATATTTATTCTAGCCAGAAGAATAACTCAAAACATTATTTGGATTTTTTAATTACGCTAACGCTTTAATTACATGCTAACTTTTTTTAAAGAACTATTCTATTCATTGAACGTCGACAGAAATGTGATATTTACATGAGGAGAGGTCCTGCACATATTTTTCAAGAAGTTTGTCCAATATTTAGCCAATGTTTTTGAGGAATGTAGGATTGGCGAAAATAGATCACATTACTTGCCTGATCAGTCACAAAATACTAATCCTTTAGACTTTTATTTGTTTATTCATGAAAATTATGTTTGGGTATTTTGAACACATATTATAACTGTAAAATTATCTACATCAAGTCGCATTTTGTTTCTCACTTTCATTTAATGCAATCTGTGTTTGCTTTTTAAAATATATTTGAAATAAACAGACTTAGGACCTATGTTGCATTAGATTTTTGTGTTTATTTCGAGGTATTCTGTTACATATTGAACATACGCCACATATACAGCAGACACCCAATACACCCTGTATATAACCAGTTATTACCCTAAATCGCAATCACAAGACCATTTATTTCCTGATATCTGTAAGTCTATCAAAAATGTCTTCTTATACAAATCTGGTCTGAGTCCACTTGAAGGATTTTGCAAATTCTGCAAATCTCCGTTTTCTCTAACATCAAGAGTAAGATTTTTAGCATAACCCACATTCATAAAAAGGTTTGAAGAAATCTTTACAATACTCGTATTCCGAAGACAAACATGCAAATTTGTACTTCTGATACCCTAAAGAACAAAAAATGTTGTAACATTCATAACGATTGATAATTGATAGCAAATTTTACATCCAGAGATAAGGGCGCTATCTGATGTTGTATTGTTATCAGATTGTTACTTTTTCAGATGTAATAGGAAACTTTATTGAAGCAACACCCTATATATATTTTTAATTATTTGAATACAACGATTTCTTAGATTGCAGTGGCATAAAATTTGATGTCTACCTATACATAATGGTGAGAGAAATATTAAACCTTATGTCACTACATTCTTATAATAATGTCTTATCCAAATAAGTATACATAGTGTTGCATTTAAATAAAAGTAGGTATCCTATTGTATCTGAAAAAATGTCAATTTGGCAACTTTGCAATTGATTTCATCAGTTATACCATAAATTTACACATAAATATCATATTTGAAGTCAGTCAGACAATCTATAAAAGGGTTATAGGAGTATGCCAATTTAAAAAACAGCCTGTATATTGAGATATTTACCTGCAGTATATTATCAGCCAAATTTTTCAAACCTTTGCCTGTAAAAGTAATGTTGTGCAATTTTGGAGGAAACTCGCCAGTCATCTCTTTCTCCAAATTATTATCTGTTGACGCAGAAACCTATCAATTTAATTTTATTTTAATAAGTATAGAAACTGCTATTTAGATTTATTTATATACAGGGTGTTTATTAAGTATGTGTACAAACTTTAAATTATAAGATAAAAAGTTCATATGAACATGGTTCTTGAGATACAGGGGATCCAAAAAAATTTGTTATTAACTTATTTGTAGAAGTAGTTTAGTCTTAATTTTGTAAATGTTCTAAGTTTGTCACGTCGCAATACAATCAATAAAAGACACATTTTTTTACTTGTTCCTCAAAAACTCAGATTCAACAAAATTCCAACGCAGGTTTAGCGTTAAACCCGTTTTTTACAAAACGGCTGCTTTCAGCGACAAATACTAAGAGTACCTTGTGTACGTAAAATTGAATGGAGAATAGGTACATTTAGTCAAAAATGACACAGCGCGACACAAAAAAGTTATGGTTATTTAAATCCAGGTACAATACTCTATGTGGCGCCCTCTAACATCAAACTAAGTAAATATTCTTCCCATCATCAATACTCCCAGTTTCCCGAATTTCGTCAAATTGCCATGTTATTGAACAAAAACATAATTAAAATATCAAACAAAATTTTTTTTTGGACGATCTATATCTCAAGAATCACGCCGTTACAAACCCATGTTCATATGAACTTTTCATCTTAAAATTAGTCAAATATTCACCAATTAAAACTTCTACAAGCACTTAATAAACATCCTGTATATTAAGCTAATTTAAATTAATACTGAAAATATGCCTCAAAATTTTATTAAATGAATTCATTAACCACAAAATAATTAATAAATCATCTAAAATCGAAATGCTGTCCAAATATTTTTAATCAAAAAAATTCATTACATACTTTTTTTAAATAAATAGTCACAATAGATATACATATAGCGTCTAATTATAATTGCTAAATAAAAAATTAAATAATTTTATTCATTAAAATTTTAAATTTTTTTCTATTAGGTTTAAATTTTTGTATATAATTTATTTCTGTTAATATTTAAATATTTATTAATCCACATAAAAAGGGGGGCACTTGAAAAAACAATCCTTAATAAACAGAAATAGATTTAATCTATTGTGGTAAATTTTACAATTTATATTATTTAATGATTTCAATATGCCAGTATGTTTTTTATAGGTAATAATATTTAGATATAAATATATCAATTTCTACTTGAAATACTTACATATATTTCTAAATCTCTTAGTCCAACGTTAAATTGCAAAATTGAGGGAATATTAAAATTCTTCAAATTGGAATAGTAACTAATTTTCAGTGTCCTCAATGAGTACATTTTACAGAACACCCCGGCCTTAAAAATATAGTTATTAGTAAATCATACAAGATGATTCTAAAATACGTGGCCAACGTGAGAGCAGAGACTCTTTGGATCAAAATAAGTCAATTCAGATCAGGGATTCAGATTACTCTACGCAAAAGTCGACCATTACTGAGATATAGTCCTCTCTAAAAAGCAGTAAGACGAAAACCTATTTTTTATGTAACTTTAAAACGATTTGTGTTGAGCTTCTTTCTTAATTATATGCACCTTTATTTATTTATTATAATAATATGATACTAAAACATATAAGATATTGATATATACAGGGTGTTTCCTGAGTAGTTTCAAATATGTATTTCAGAGAGTAATTCATCAATATTGTATGAGAAAAATTTATAGTAACATAAGTATGTTTAAAAATGTCTCCTTTTTAAAATGCAGGTAGTTGAAGTATCTCGGAATTTTTTTTCTCAAACTTTGAACGATTATGCTCTATTAGAACACATGTTTTAATGTAAACCAAAGTTTGTTCACCTCACCAGGGGCGGCGTGCGTATAGGCAATACCATGCAATTATTTTAAGAAAGAATATGGGCGCTACTGGCATATTTAATTTTGAGAGTATTTTCTGTAAACATCGATCATTACGTGACGAAAGAAGGCAGTTAGCTTTTTTTCAATTAGAAGCTCAGTACTGGAGTAATATGTTATTTTATTAAGAATATAATACAGTACATAATGATCGATGAATTAATAAAACACCATTTTTCTCCAGAACTAGACTTCAAAAGAAAAAATTCTAAACGACATCTTATGTCAGGTATTGAAAAAGTACAAAAAAAATTAAAATTAAAACTATGTAGTGACTTACATATTATTATGTTTTTATTAATTGCCTACATACACTTCCCCGGTTTTTGGAAATGATAATATAATTTTTTTCATAAAACGATTTGAAGATTCACCTCTGAAATATTTCTATTTCTTGAGGCCTCCATCCCTCGACCATTTCATAACTTTATTAAATGGACGTCAGTGAATATTTACATTACATTTTCAAGTACAAAATTAATTTTTAAAAATATATTGTTTCTTGGAGAATTTTAATAATGATTATTGATATGGACTGTTTGAAGAAGAGATTCTTTAGAAATTATAAAAAATGTTTGGATGAACATAGTTTCTAACATTGTTCCTAAAAGTACTACGGCTCTTTATAACCATTAAAAGATGTAGATGAGTGATACATGTAGTGATCATTACTACTAAAATGTCTAAGACTTGCAAAACAGCCAAAAATAGCTTAAAGCAGGTACTATGATATATTCTAACTATATTTAATAGATTTTGTTGGTGTAATTCAATGCTAGTCGGGGCATGTAACCCGCAGAGTAGTTGTATCCTACAATATCATTACTTTCTCTTTATATACTATTCCCAAAGATTTGAATTATTTCATATTTTTTAAATGAGCGTAGTATGTTTCGAAAAATTTTGACACATTCATACAAACTTTTCTTCTTATTTTTATGTATAAAATGACTCCTTCAAATACAAACACGGAATTATCGAATCTGATTTTCAGTGACATAAGGTCAAAAATTTATCTTTTTATTTTGAGCCTCAGGAGTCTCTGGTTTTACGTTGTCTTCAAATTTGGAATAAAATGCTTGGCAAAACTTTAATAGTGAATTGTAAGCCACAAATTAAAAAGATGTTCCTATAAACATGTAGGTATCTGGAAAAATTTTCTCATTATTTCAAAAACAGTTTGATGCTAAGGCACCTTTAACATACTCGTCTACATCTGGTACGGCATTCTGCATTTATTTCGAAAGCAGTGCATCCTAACGACCTGCAGCAAAAACACGTACAAAAAAAAACATGTATACAGGGTGTCTCATCACGAACTCCATCGATGCAATAATATACAGGGGGGTTCCATTTAAAATAATAAAGTTGGTATCGACTTCCGATATAACCGGAAGTACGATGACCTTGAAGATATTTTTACTTGGTAAGCCCCATGGCCCGTATCATACCACCACAATTTCAAAAAAATCCTTCCCACGGTTTCCCAGATATCCATCGATGGAGTTCCTGGTGGGACACCCTGCATATGCTTGTTGACAATAAAAAACTAAAACTCATACCGAATTGAATTAAACTTATTAACTATTTTCTTGTATTTATACTTCAATAACCTGTATCTCGAAGTGTTGCCGGACACTTATCTTCCTTCATTAATTTTTTACATACCATCCACTACATCCGCTATTAAAGTTTAGCCAACCATTTGTTTATTATATGTAATTATTTTATTACTTCTAATGTGTTGAGTTCAAAGTTTCTTATATCCAACTCAACCAAATGATCCGCTACTCCCAGCAAACTGGTATTGCTTAAGAATGTTATCGGGTTATCAACCATCGATAGATATCGCAACTCTGTCAAAGAGTGGGTAACGATAGGCACCGCAGACAAGTCATTAAAATTCAAGTTCAACCGCTGCAAATTGGTCATATTCGTTGCCATCTCAGGCGGGACGTTTGGCAGGGCGTTGTAAGCTAGGGATAATGAAACCAGGTTTGGGGTAGGCAAGGTAGGTACCTAAAACGAAACAGAGTAAACATTTTTATTATGATTTTTGTTATGATATCAGTATCATTAGCAAATGACCCTTCACAATCAAAATATGTGAAATTTAAACAATTTTCAGTAAATTTAATGTAGATGTGCAGTATGACCTACTTGAAACCGGGTCACTCATCAAATTTTTTTGAATTGCAGTGTGGAGAAAAGTGTCAACCTTTTTATACAAAAACCAAGGCCTACCAGATTATTTTTGGTGGGGTAAAAATTGATATATTGATTAGCGATTTTTTAAAATGGGCGTACACCAAATTTCATGAAATAATATTGCATATTAATTGTTCTACGTTCAAATTGTCAATTGTGCTGATCTTACGGATTTATGTCTTCATCCAGTAATCCATGAAACAAAACGTATATACAGGGTGTGCCATTTAACACTCCCGCTGCCAATCATACATTGCATATTGAAGTCGACATATCTCGAAAACAAGTAAATATAGAGAAAAACTTTATATTACAAAAATTACTCAAAATTTAACGATCTTTCATTTTCACGTTCAGGGATCAAAAAAGTTTTTAGTATCGCCACGCCATCTATACAAAAAATTTGAACTAACAGTTCTAACTACAATTTGAAGCTATTCGAGGGATCTAATAACCCCAGTTTCCGGAACTAAAATAAATTTCTTAATTTCGGAGATATTGGCAGCGGGAGTGTTAAATGGCAGACCCTATATTGTTTCTAGTCTACAATGACCTTAATACTTTATAGTTGAATATGTAAATACAAAATAATTATAAAATTTAATTTCTTACGCAATAAAATCATTGAGATAGATATTTTGAATTTTTTAGAGCAGGACGAGAGATATATCTCAAAATAAATCCTTAATTGAGGCCACTGATTTTATTTATTTATTATGATTTTCTTTCGTTTATTTTTTAAAATGTAATTATAATCATCTACATTTTTTTTGAGATTTTCGAGCCATTTTCCATTTATTCAGATATGTTTAAATATTAAAAATAAAAGAATTAATAATTTTAAAACGGCTGGTGTTTTTTATAATACATATGTTAAAAGTTTTCTGATAAATACACCCACATTTCTAATATATTCAGTGACGTCAATGGTTGATCTTAATGGTAATTTCTTCCTTCGGCGGTTCTGACATCGGTCGACATATTTTTATAAACCAATTTACATCAAATATTATTTTATTTAAAAAAAGATCAGCACCCTATATTTGCACCTTTGATTCATTATGATTTTTGGTTCTAAATTGATTCGAAAAAAAAAACAACATTTTTATGTTACGATAGTACTGCGGTTTGATTGATACAGCGGGCAACTGGTCATATTATTTTTCAACGATAAAGAATTTGCAATTACACATGTGAGACTATGGTTAAAGTAATCTAATAACATAGGTACATAACATACAATAAAATTATTATACAGTGTTTCCAAAATATGATGCAAGGCTGAAATAGGAGACAGTTACGTCATTTTAAGCAAAAAAAAAATTCAGTGAACTTGGATCTGAAAAACAAAACAAATCTTTAAATTCTTTATTAAGAAAAAATGCTTGTTTTATAATACCTTCATCCTGTTTTCTTTTCGACAAAGGACATACAGGGTGATTCAGAACTTATCCAAAAAAAAAATTCTGGATGTACAGGGGACCCTTACAAATACAATTTTGTAAAGAAAAAATCAAAAAGGGCAGTTCGAAAATGATTTAAAAATACACTTCTGTACGGCACTGGAAACTGGTCCACTGTAAAACCTGACCTCGCACAATGGGACCGGCATGGCGGTGTGATAAAAACGGACAAAAACTTTCGCAAGGAAAGAAATATGTAAATAGAATTTTATCGCACCTATTTTATATCGGCAAATTCAACTGCTTCTGTTTTTATTAATTAATACAATTAATTTGTGTTTTCAAATAATAAAATCATTTGACATACCCGATGTTACAACAATTGTTCAAAATTTTATCCACCTACGTGTAAACACATTTGGGTCCGTCTTACTCAGTTTCTACGAACTAACACAAATGTTGTCTTGCTTCACCATATCACAAATGCTTCACCATAAATTAAAACGCAAACCATTTTTGACACTAACTACCCATTTTTGACACTAACTACTAAAAAAACTATTGAACAGATAACAGGTAAATACTATTGCAACGACGATTGCAAAATCCGATTTCAGTATTCTGAGTCGCTGAGGCCACGTGGCTCTCCAGGCGCATTGCGAATGACGCTAGAGACTACAGTTGTCCAGCTATGTAGTCGTTGAATGTACTATAACTTCAATAATTTTTTCTCGGAAACTATAAGGATTTTACAAAAAATTTTTTTACGATATTGCTCCATTTCTCATGCCGCATCTATTCCCAAATTTTTTTGGATAAGTTCTGAATCACCCTGTATATTCCAAGCATTATTTTTATTTTGTAATGTGTTGTTACCCACCTTATTTCATACTACTAACTTCCTTCTCAGAATTCTCCATATAAATAATTATATGGAAGTCAAATTAGGGCCATAAAATTATCCCTTCGTATGGAAATTTATTTAGACATTTTATTTATCTATAACACTATGATGTTATAATAAACAACTTTAATATTGTCTTTTATATATATACATATGCACTGGTTCCATGGCAATCTTGACTTTATCCATAAATAAACCAGTAAATAAAGTAAAATACTGTGCAAACTATCAAAGCAAATATATGACAAGTATCTATATATAAGTGTAATCAGAAAAAAATGGGGTTATGGAAAATCGACAGATATACAAGGTGTTCCAGGGGCTTGGTTTATATCTTGGAAATGCAACTGGCAATTGTTTTTTTTATATATTTCTTTGATATCGCAACAAAATTTCCTAATACTTAGATAGAATAGGGACTACAATGTTACGTAAATTATCCTGTACGTTGATGTTCATAATAAATGGTTCAAATTTTACTGATACATTGTATCAATTAAAACAAGAAAAAGTTAATAAGAAAATTGATTACGGAATTCTTGATTATCACATTTAGGGCTTACTGAAATTTGGGAAATAATGAAAAATAAACAACTTTTTATGGAAAACAATAGATTTTAGTGTGAATATTCTTAGCAACTTTTTTTACTTTAATTGCTAGAATGTCTCGACAAGGTTTGAAGTAATATACGGGCATTTTTGATTTTCGGAAGCTCTGTCATCGAAGTCATAACAATATTTACCTCATAAATCATTCAAATTATCGAGATCGAATAGAAATACCCTTCTTGTTCAGTTTAGATTCTTTTTCAAAATTTATTTTAGCAAAAATACCACATGAAATTTTTTAAGATAAAAAACTTTCAGTACCCCTACACCTCTGTCACTGTAAGTGACAGAGGTGTAGGGATACTGAAAGTAAACTATTGTTCTGCGAGATTATTGCGATCTACACACGTGAATCATGTTCAATTTAATGTGGTATAAACGTAAAAAAATAATTTCTGGTTGAACTGAAAGGAATATGTTATTTTTTTAAATTGCAAATTAAAGGGATAATACTAATACATACCTGTGTTAACGACACATTATCTAAATTCAAGTGCAGAAGAGAGTACTCTAGGCCTTGGAAACTTAAACCATTAGGTTCAAGTACTAATTGACTGTTGTGACTTAAATCTAAGCTTGACAATTTTGGTAGACCCTTAAATACGCCTCCATCTATTTGCGCCAGTCGATTGTAAGAGAGATCTAAGAAATTAAGACTCTAAAATAACAAACATCGATTTATTATTGATTTATTTCTACTAGTATGTATTGCTAGTACCTTAAACCTAGACAGTAATCCACCATGTGACAAAGAAGAGATACTATTCCACGATAAATCCAGCTCACACAAACTCATACCCGTTGCAACAGACATGCTGGTGAGAGGCAGTTTGGTTAGCAAATTGTGAGAAACATCTAATCTTTCTAAACCTTCTTCTCTAAATAGATTATCCGGTAAAAATCGTAGTCTGTTGTGGGATAAATTAACTATCCTTAAGTTGGTAAGAAAACGGAACAAATCATTTGGTACGTCTGCTATACGATTATGGCAAGCGTGCAAAACCTATAACAATGAAAGTATTTGAAATTTTGGTGAATGCGCCGATGTTGCTAAATAAAACGTCAATAAATTGAAAACCGCGTGCAAAAACCGAGCAAGTCCACTTTTTACAGGGTGATTCAGAACTTATCCAAAAAAAAATTTTTTTAATGTACAGGGTCTCTTACAAATACAATTTTGTAAAGAAAAAATCAAAAAGGGCAATTCGAAAATGATTTAAAAATACACTTCTGCACGGCACTGGTAACTGTTCCACTGTAAAACCTGACCTCGCACAATGCGACCGACATGGCGGTAGTTTGATAAAAACGGACTCAAACTTCGCAAGGAAAGAAATAATTAGAATTTTATAGCACCTATTTTATATCAGCAAACTCAACTGCATTTGCCGCTATTATTGTTATTTATTAATGAAATTAATTTGTGGTTTTAAATAATAAAATAATTTGACTTACCTGATGTTACAACATCTGTTCAAAATTTTGTCCACCGATATTTGGGTCTGTCTTACTCAGTTTCTACGAATTAACACCTTGTCTTGCTTCAGCATAACACAAATGCTGCACCATAATGCAAATGTTGTCTTGATTCACCATAAATTAAAACGATATACATCAACTCAGAGTTGCTATACACGCAAACCATTGTTGACACTAACTACTAAAAAACTATTGTAAACACCGCAGATAACAGGTAAACACTAACGCAACGACGATTGTAAAATCGAATTTCAGTATTCGGAGTCGCTTAGGCCACTTGGCTCACCACGCGTATTGCGAATGGCGCTAGAAACTACAGTTGTCCAGCTGTAATGGTTGAATGTACTACAATTTCAATAATTTTTTTCTCGAAACTATAAGGATTTTACACAAAAATTTTTTACGATATTGCCTCCATTTCTCATGCTGCATCTATCCCCAAATTTGTTTGGATAAGTTGTGAATCACCCTTTATAAGAAATAGAGGTTAGCAAAAAGATTTGAAATGGTGAATTATTCTATAGAAAACTCTTAGATATAGAAATACGTGGTAAAAATTTTGACAAGAGTCTAGGGCAGCAAAATTCACTTTGCTTCGAAGCTCGAAATTTTTTTTTCTGAAGAATTAAGAAAATAGTATGGAAGCAACGTGAGTGTCCCTTGACATTATTAAAATTTTGTCGTTTAGTTCTGGAACGTTCTGTATACTAAGAGGAAAATCCTACCTTCCATGATAATCTGCATATTTAGACGAATAAAATTCAATCAGTTCAGATTCCAATGTGACATACCAATATTTCGAAGAATAAGACCAACTTCGTACCTCCATAAATATACATTGTCTCGAATCTCTATAATATATTGTCTCGATAATACTTACATAATCTACATATCTCGTCTTCGAATAAATTTCCGGCAATAAATAATAATTTTAATTACAGGTGCAATCAGGTTAATTATGGACTTTTCTGATCACTTTTAAAACAATTTTCAGAAGCAACTTTATTGATAATAATGAAAACAATGTTTTAGGGCAAAATTATGTGCCAGCTACAACTTTGTGAATAAAGAATGAATGATATGAAATACAGAGTGATTCACAACTCATCCAAAAAAATTTGGGAATAGATGTGACATGAGAAATGGAGTCAATATCGTAAAAAAAAATTTTGGAAAAACCCTAAAAGTTCCCAAAAAAAAAAAATATTGAAGTTGTAGTACTTTCAACCATTGCATAGCTGGACAGCTGTAGTCTCTAGCGTCATTCGCAATACGCGAGACTACAGAGCCACGTAGCCTCAGCGACTCCGAATACTGAATCTGATTTACAATCGTCGTTGCGATAGTGTTTACAAAAGCTTTTTAGTAGTTAGTGTCAAAAATGGTTTGCGTGTACAGCAACTCGGAGTTGATGGATATCGTTTTAATTTTTGGTGAATCAAGACATTTGCATTATGGTAAAGCATTTGTGTGATGGTGAAGCAAGACAAGGTGTTAGTTCGTAGAAACTGTGTAAGACGGACCCAAATGTGTTTACACGTCGGTGACAAAATTTTGAACAGATGTTGTTACATCAAGTATGTCAAATTATTTTATTAATTAAAACACAAATTTTTTTATTAATTAATAATAACAATAGCGGCAAATGCAGTTGAGTTTGTTGATATAAAATAGATGCTATAAAATTCTATTTATTTCTTTCCTTGCGAAGTTTTTGTTTTACAGTGGACCAGCTTCCAGTGCCATGCAGAAGTGTTTGTTTTCTTTACAAAATTGTATTTGTCCCCTCCATCCAAAATTTGTTTTTTGGATAAGTTCTAAATCACCCTGTATAATATGAAAACAAATATTCTGAGAAATATAGATAATGTAGAGAAAGATAATATTTGAACAAGTTTAGTTATTAAACAGTTATTTCAATATTTCCACAACTTTTATAAAATTTACTTAACCGGTTCTTGCACGAAACTGTTCGATTAGAATTAAATACCTGTAATTTTTTTGTATTCCTAAACATGTCGAAGTCCATTTCATACATTCTGTTATGAGAAATATCTAACCATTGTAGATGCCTTAAATTTCCAAATACTTCTCTTGTTGCATTGAGTAAACCGTTATAACTCAGATAAAGATGAGTTAATGATAGTTCTACTGGCATGAAGAAATGCTTGGAAATTGACGATATATTGTTGTGTGACAAATCAAGAATTTTTATATTGGAATGTACTCTGGGCACACCTAGGTAGAAAGAACTTAAAAATACAAATGAATTATATAGTAAATGTAAAAAAACACATAGATTTGTGCTTTACGACCAACATTTAAACAATTTTAGCAGGCGTTATGCAATATAAAGCTGTACGTACAAAATATGTTTTACTGTTGACAGGATTTATTTAGGCATGCTTTATTAAATAATATTATATATGATATAGTTGTAATCATAAAGGTCGTATAGTTACAATTTTTGTATTAAGTTGCACATAAACTAAAATACAGACTACATAATCCTGAAACATGAATGCATATTATATTTTTGACCTTTAACAAATATAAATTAAAAAGACATTCTTCATAATTTTTTATATATGAAAAGATGAACAATTCGGTAGTATAGATTAGGCATATTATTATCTTTTTAATTCAAATTCGCTTCTCACTAGAGGGATCTCGGAAACGGTAAGAGGTACGAAATAGCTTAAATAGGGGCAAAGTTGCGTAATCAGGGGACCAACATTAGGCCTCTAAAAAATCAAGGCTATCATGATTAGTTTTCGAAATATTTGAAAAAAACGAAAATTTGGAAATCCGTTTTTGTTTCATTTCCGCCTTGTTTGAGGTGATATTGAAAAAAGAACACTTTCTCAAGGCCACTTTTTGCCCTTTATCGAATGGCATAATCAATTTTTGTATGTAATGTTTCGTCTTTCCAGGACCATCATCAACTTCATTTTTTTAAATACTACCCTAGAAATTTTATTACATTTTTTGCAGGCCTTCATGACCCCTAATACTGTACTGCCTCGAAAAATTCATCTGCATTGTATTCGTTCCAAATTTATCTAAATTTATTATTTAGATTTCTTTGATTGTTGAATAATCGTACACTGTAAGTGTCGTTAGACGCTGTGAAATCCATCTAGTTATTTAAACTATTACAACTACGCGTTACAATAAAACATTTATTATTAACTATTACCATCACTTGGTCATACATAACTCAATAAGTTGTTGCGTCAAAATTAAAACATTATTACAATTTTAATTTATGAATATTGAATACTGAATATTATTCTTTAAAATATTTCAGTAAATATTCAAAAACATTTTCGTTTTGGCAAAGGTTGAAAATGAAGATCAGCGTAATATTATCAGAATTTATTATAGCTGTAACCGCAACTGTGAAAAAGCATGTCATATGTATTTATATGAATATCCTGGAAAAAATAGATCGGAATTTGTTTGAATTTTGAGCACTGGAGACACCTAGAAATAACTATGGACACGGGAATTGGACGGAGCACGCTCCTTCGTTTTCTTAGTTTAAGATTTGTGTGTTTGCAAGACGTAGAAAAAAGTAGGCTTCTAATATACTTGTCATATTGTAACATTTGTCAACAAATATACAGTTCATTTTAAGGTCAGTTTATTTACCACTAAACCAAACAGGAATAACACTCTAATAATGTTTTATTTTAATGCGTGGTGGTAATAGTTTCAATAATTAGATGGATTTCACAGAGTCTAACGACACTTACAGTGTGCGATAATTCAATAAACAAAGAAATCTAAATAAAAAATTTAGATAAATTTGAAACGAATACACTGAAGATGAATTTTTCGAGACAAAACGTCTGAATCTGGTTCGGACTGAGGCAGTACAGTATTGGGGATCATGAAGGCTTGCAAAAATTGTAATAAAATTTCCAAGGTCGTATTTAAAAAAATGAAGTTGATGATGGTCCTGGAGAGACAAAACGTTACATATAAAAAATTGATTATTCCATTCGACAGAGGGCAAAAAGTGGCCATGAGAAAGTGTTCTTCTTTTTTCAATATCACCTCAAACAAGGCCGAAATGAAACAAACACGGATTTCCAAAATTTCGTTTTTTTCAAATATTTCGAAAACTAATCATGTTAGCTTTGATTTTTTAGAGGCATAATGTTGGTCCCTTGATTACGCAACTTTGCCCCCATTTAAACTACTTCGTACTTCTTACCGTTTCCGAGATCCCTGTAGTGAGAAGCAAATTTGTAACAGCCTGTAAGTTACTCATCAGAAATGTGCAATGTAGTTCGTCAGTTTGTATGTATTAAAGTATTTTGATGCACTTTATTTAAGGAAGTTTATCTGATTTGGAATTGACAAATAAATATTCATAAAAAAATTAATATAAGCTTATTAATATGAAAAAAATCCTCAAAAAAATTATGACTAGTTTGAATACCTAAGAGACGAGGTATTAATAAAATAATTTTTCACGATTTAGTACGAAGTCTTATGAGAATGTTGATTTTTTTGATCTTTTCACTTAGAATGCGCAACAATTGACGAACAATTTCCACAGCAACTTGTATAAATGGGGAACTGATATCTAAGGAACCGTATGACAACTTGTAGAAATCGATTAGGTACTTGTAAAATACATAATTTATAATAATTCTCCTTCAAACTGCTTCGTTGACTAACTTAACCCTTATGCGTGATACCGGCAACGACGCAGTTCTCGACGTAGCGTATTATTTGAAATTCGCATATGATGTATATTTCAAGGCATCCAAACAAACAGAATGATCGAACGCGAGCGAGCGAACGCGGAGCCGAACGCGTCAGCCAAGTACAACGTAGCCAAATCTAAAGGCATACCATTTTAGTCACTAGCGAATCTACAGAAACTCTCGTTTAGACTTTAGACGTACCTCCGTACTCAATAAACCTCCTTAATAATTTTACAAAAATCATGTTAGATGCATTTTATTCAGGGTATCATAATTTGTGTTGTTATGTCGTTGTCTATGCACATGGGCGCCTACTTTGCATTTCCTTAGCCATAAAATGACTACAATTAAAACATTAGTCAACAGAGCTAGAACCATATAAGATCCGGAGCAATTAGATTCTTTTACAGCAAAAAAACAGGATATCAAATGAGTCATCAACCCTAGACGTCCACAAACGGAAACATGTGCATTGAGGCTTGCCCAGTTTATGTTCATAATGTAACAAACCGCATTGCCAAGGTATTGCAGGCATGTATGAACCAGGAAATTTTATAAGTGTGACAATGAGATCGGTTATTACAAGAAGAAAGGAACACGAAAAGGCTTCAAGACTCAACCAGTCTGAGAAATCAGCAATCTCCCAACATACGTTAGTTGAAAGGCATATAATATATTTCGAAGACACCGAGATACTTGCGAGAAGTACGAGAAGTACGGGATTTTACAACCTAGTGAGATGGGAAGCATTGGAAATCGAACAATATCCAAATAGTATGAATCGTGAAGACATTCGGTTGAGCAGAACCTGGTTACCTCTTCTAAAAATCAATTGAAAGAGGGAAGAAGACGTGATACAAGACTGTATATGCCTGAAAACATACGCTTTGCAGAGTCACCACTGAAGATGTCAATAGTGAAGAACGGCGAAATGTTGGATGTTACCAGTTACAGAGGCTACTACAGAACGTCTCAGAGGGAACCATTGTCGGAGGAGCAGTTCCGTAGCAGCCTTAGAAGAATCGACAACATGATGGTGGGCCTGGGGTTTCACATAGGCTAGCCTGAGAATAACAAGGGGAATGCCAAAGATTCATAGCTAAGGCTAAGAAAGTGCAAGGGAAGTCTGTAACTAGCGACGACCAGGTACATAAGGCAAGACTGTTTTGCCAGGACACCAGAAACCACGTTGTGTACTTTAAGTATGAGAACGAGCCTAAAACCACTATAGTTTGTTCTAACTTCCATCAATAGAAAGAAACTAAGGATGCGGTTGGAAAACTAAAAAATCCTCATATAGCAGTAAAAGTAAATAAACATGAATTTAAATGAACAATCAAAAAATAAAGCGAATATATGAAAATATCGATAAAAAAATACCATAAAAATATACTTGTTATAGAAAATGTAAATGAGAGTATCGTCCAGTCATAAATAATGAGCAAATAAAGCATAAATATAAACTAAAATATGTTGTATTTTTAAAGTTTTTCTTTCACGAACAAAGTCGTATAATACAGGGTGTTATTGAACATATGTCAAAAATTTAAAGGGGTGAAAAGGAACAAAAACTGAGTTAACTGATGTCACAAACTTGTATCGGAAGTTTAAGGTCATAGAGAAAAAAGCTAATTAAAAATATGTTTATAACTGTTTTGGAACTGCTGAAATACATGTATTTTATCACAGCGAGTACTTACAAAAAATTATGTAAAACTTTTTACGAGTTTGTAGGTTTCGTATGAAGCCGGAGTGTATTCAAAAGTCAGTTTGTTTGTGTGTTTGTTGTAATGATTGCTGTGCTGTTTTTCAAGAGTACATTTAATAGCTGTATTTCCAAGTTTTCTTTTCAAAATGGCGCATTTATTTAGCAATCGCGAATATTATGATATGCTCATAATTTATGCCGAAGCAAACGAAAATGCCCACAGAGCTTGTCAAGTGTACCGTGCAAGATATCCTGAACGCCGTACCCCCGCACTGCGAACATTTGTTGCTGTAGCGCAAAGAAGGTGAAGTACAACCGCGTCGAGGTCGCAACGGTGGCCCAGGGCGACCACTAGGAATCTTAAATGTCGAGGAGATGATTTTAGATCTCGTCGAAGAAGATCCGCATCGTAGCACCAGAAATATCGAACAGCAAGTAGATATTTCGCATCCTGTTGTGTGGCGAACATTACGAGAAGCTCAGTTGTACCCATTTCATATTCAACGTATTCAAGCGCTTACTCTTAAGGATTTTTAACTACGTCGAGGTTTTTGCGAATGGTTGCTTCAGGAACATGCAAGAAATCCTCAATTTAGAGCACAAATACTTGTTACAGATGAAGCATGTTTCAGTCGAAATGGTGTACGAAACGTCCACAACACTCACCACTATCAAAAATCCACACGAAATACGTCGCGGTGCCTTTCAGCAACAGTTTTCAGTGAACATGTGGGCCGGTATCGTTAATGACACTTTAATGTAACCTTTTGAATTGCCTAGACGCTTAGACAGTGCTTCATATCTAGATTTTTTGCAAAATCGCTTGCCGGAGCTATTGGAAGACGTGCCATTAAATGTTCGGCAAAATATGTGGTTACTGCATGACGGAGCCCCCATTCACTTTTTTCGGAGACTGCACGACTCTCTAAACATTACTTTTCGCGATCGCTGGATAGGCCGCGGCTAGTTAGATGGGCCCTCACCCCTTTAGTCTTCTTTTTGTAGGGATATGAGAAAAGTGTTGTGTATTCCACGGAAGTTCGTGACATCGACCAACTGCGACATGGTATTGCCGATGCTTGTAATATGATTCGAGAGGACGTGGCAATGTTGCAATGCGTGCGAGCGAATTGGATACGTCGCGCTGAAGCTTGTGTGCAAGCAAATGGTGGGTACATTGAACATCTTCTATGAAAATCAAGTTCTCAAAAGGTGGCCTCTTGCAATATTGAGGTTAGTCAAATTTTAAAATTACATTTTACTCAACACAAATCACATGACATAAGTTATTAACACATTAACACCCTATATACATACGTAGTGCCAATAATTTATAAATAATTATTTCTCATTAAAAAATAATTAGTTTATTTTAATTACTAAATAATTTTCTAACGTGTATTGTACAGTGGTACACCGATTATATTTTTTCAAATATTTAGTCGTTTTTTGGAAGTACTGCAATAAAAAATAAGTACGGCCATATTGACCGACATCGACAGTTCACTTTTATTATCAAATAAACGTTTAAGAAAACATATGTCTTATAACTACCCTTCAGATATGTTTGATTTTATTATTATTATAATCTCCTAAATACAAATTTCACAAAAATCTATCTATGTTTCATATTATAGGGAAATTAATGTATGTATGGTACACAATTATAATGCCTTTCATATTTTAGGTAAGAGAATAATATTTTATGAAAAATTAATTGCAAAATTGCGTGTTTCCCTGAAAACGAAAATGTGTCGTAAAAGCATCAATCTGCAAATGTGACCCTCGCGACTAGAAATTAAGCATTAAAGCCTAGTTTTATATAACAATGGTGTCTGAAGGTCACATATTTTCATAGCTTCTGATAACGTGACTTGATCTTGATAAAACAAGTGTTTGAAAAGTTTCCTCATTATCTGAAGCATGAATGATTAACACGTGTAATTGTATTGAAAATTGAATCGCCTTTTTTTAAAATATCATATGTTTTATAAAATAAATACGTAGGTATAATATCCTCTTCATATTCTGAAGTAATTCCTAGTAGGTAATATAACATTACATAAGTAAAAAATACAGTCTACTTCTCCTAGACGATTTAAAAAAGAAGTTGACGGACAACTCCACACATACTACAAGGTTAATATTAATTTATTTCGAATAATGAAAAGAGAATATTTGGGTGCACTGGAATGCACTGAAGAAAGGAGAAACCTTAGAACTAACACTGATAATGTTTCATTGGATGTGCATATACTTTAATAGTGAGACCTGGACTTCTTTATAGTACGGTGATCTGTACGGCCCAAAATCAGGAACCACTGCATTATAGACATTGAAAAGATTTCATAAATGTATGTTATATCAAGAAACATGGCAATCTTCAAGAGCTCACTTGGAAGTTTTGTTAAACCACTTCAAATAATGATGGAAAGAAAAACAAGAATACTCAGCATAGAAACACAGGAATATTGAACCACCGCAGCGCATAACAAGCATGCATTACTCTGGGACCAATCAGTCAGAATTATTGGAAAAAAGGCAATGAAAAGCAAATAAACTTGCAAGAAAGGGGACTGATACGGTTTTCCCAAGACCAGAGTCAGTATTTAGCATTCCGTTGCAGTACACAAGCTTTAGGGAGAAAATGGTTGTTTTCTATCGCAAAAGAGGACAAATGAAATGACAAATGAAAAAGCATATTTATATGACATTAGTAGATAATTTAAACTTTCTTATATACAAAGGAATTAAGAATAAGTTGGCTAATGGACTTGAATGATATTTACACATAGAACAAATCTGCTTAGATAAATAGTAACAGAAAACAATGGTGTATGATGCTGCTTCGTCTGTTACACACGCATCATTATTGACGAAAGAAGGAACTAACGAAACTAATATTTGAGAAAGCTTCATATTTACGTCATTCTACATATTTAAATATCGCTCTAAAATTGTTCTTTCTGTGGGAGAATTTTTATGTAACCGACACAAAATGCATACTTATGTTAATTTATTAGAAAACATTAAGGTTATTTATTGCAGCAAAAGACCTAGTCCGTGAATACGATGTGTGTATCCTTGTTACAACAGTAAACGTTGCACAACTATCACAGTGCAGCAGAAATTGGAGAAAAATGAAAGATGTTCAGAAATATCCATCTTGAACACATAAATTTTATGTAGACAAGGAATATACAAAGTTTAGAATATTTATTTTTCCGTAGTGAATTCAACTAGAAAAATACATATCTGGTTCTTCTTCGAATTTATGAATGTGTACTTTTTTATTTTTCTTTCTCCGTGACTAGGTTGATAAATTTTAATAGATTGCAAAATTCTAGTCAACATCTATTATTATTTAGAAATGTTCTGTAGGTATCTTTAAAAAATGACATTCTTTAACAGTAACTAAAGTAATTTAAAACTTACCCGCTCCAGGTTCAAAATTTAAAGGCATATTTACTATTAAATCCTTCAAATTATTATGACTGGCGTTTACCCTAAAGATAGACAGTGTCCCAACTTGATCAAACATGGAAATTTCGAACGATTTCAGTTTATTATAAGATATATCTAAATCTTCTAATTCAGGTAAATTCTGAAATGCTTCATAACCTATTATTGATATTTTGTTTCCTTTCAAATTCAATCTTTTAATATTTTCCAAATTCATAAATGACCTTCTCTCGAGGGTTTCAATTCTGTTATCGTCCAGATGAAGCTGCTCTAATCTCGGTAAATTAACAAAAGTGTGTTGATTTATTACTTTTATGTTATTAAAAGATAAATATATTTGTTCTAAATTTGAATGGATATCACCCTAAAATTATTGAAAATATTCAAAATTCGTTACACGTCAACAAATTAGAAATTTAAGGATTTTTTACCTGAAATGTTCCTTTGTGTACAGTCTCGATGATATTATCCTGGAGTTCAAGTATTTTCAGTTTCCTAAGGAAATGAAATGAAGTATCTGGCATAGTTTTTAATCTATTGTTACTAAGATCCAGTAATTCCAAATTTGGTAATACTTTTATTGCATCTACTGGTACATTTGATACAGAGGGAGCAAAAGCAGATGACAACATTAAATGTGTTAAAGAGTGTCCAATCTAGAAATATTTGATTAATAAATCTATAAAATTAATTCATATTTCTCTAAACTTACGTCAGCAAAAGCATCATTTTCGATGGTGGTGATCATATTGTCCGAGAGATCAATGAACTTTAATCCATGAACATGCTTAAATGCGTTACTTTTGATTATTTGCAAATCGGCGAAATTAATTTGTAGTTCTTCTAAATCAACTCCATATTCCAAGAAATCTTCAGGAGAAATATTAGTTTGTGTCAATTGAGACAATGATAATACTCGTAAACTCCTTAATCTAAAGTATCGGATAACAAAAAAATTAAGGAAAACATTTACAATAAGATGTATGTACATGGTTTTAAAATGTGTTTTATTAAAATGATACAATTTAATTGGAGGTTACATGCTCTTAATTTCTTTTACTTTTTTGTCAATAAGGAATAACTTCTCAGCCTTTGATTTGCAATTTCAATTTTGAAATCATACTTACCTATTTTTCGGCTTTATTAACCAAAAAGTTTTCTATATCTTTGTAAACATTCAAGATTTTTTTATTTTTTAACATGTGTATTGAAAAAAAGCAACAAGGAATGTCATATTTTGAACTTCAGGAATCTCCCACTAAGTTGTATCATATTCTTAGTGAGGCAACTTGTGTATATGTATATGAACTTACCTTCGCAATTCTTGGATAGAAATTGGTAAATTCTCAGTGCCACTTAGATCTAAGTTATATAAAGTGAATTGAAAACCATTAAAGGCTTCGGTAGGATTTAAATTGTCAATCATATTATCCCTTAATGACAACGTTCTCAGCAAGCCGAATCTGTGGAACACATCTTGAGGTAATAACGATATATTATTTCCACTTAAGTCCAAATGTTCCAAGTAATTTTCTAGTCCACTAAATGCAGCTGGTGATATTTTAATTAAGCCACAACTTCTGAGATATAGCACTCGTATTTTTGCTTGTTGGAAAGCATTTTCCTAAAAAAATTAGGTAGGTATGCCATAAGTGCAGCCTATAATTTAAAACAAAAAGTTTGATGGCTGAATTAATCACGTGTTTCAATAATTTTATAATTAACAATTTAATTGTACTTTTCTCGGATGCAATGTAGATGTTATAAATAGTTAATCCATGTATTGACAGTCCTCAGGATATAGTTACATTAAATTCAATCATTAATTGCTTGTTGCTTTTATATTAGTTAAAAATATACAAGGTGTCCGGGAAAATGTGGGAAATCTCTGGGGTGCAGATAGACCATGAAAAAATAAGATGACAAGTTCCTATAAAATTTTTTCGAATGCCGCTGGAAATCAGTTTTTCTTGAATAACTTTCAAAGTAATTAATATAGTTTAATAAAAATTTTATGTGATGAATACTAGTAAGGACCTCTTAAAATATTGTCCTTGAAACATATTTAGCTCTTTTAGTTTACCAGGAGCGGGCTAAGCTTTACAACTTACTGCCTAAATTTTTAACACCCTGTATGATAAAGACTTTAAAATAATAAATCTGGGTAGCTTCAACCTAAGACTAAAAAAAAAGTACTCTTGTTTATTGTCGATAAAATGAACCGTTTACGAGAAAAAGAATAATTAACGAATTCATGTTTTATTTTTAATAAAAAGGGCCATGATTTCTATTCTATGAAGTGACATCGCTGACACATAGATCCTTTACTTCGTTATTAATTTAACTATTTTTGGATCTCATGGTGAATTTAATTGTGAATTAATTCGAAATATCGAATACACGTTTATTGATTATGCAGATATGCATCTCATGTACCTATGGTCTTGCGTCTTGCAATGCTTTACAAACCAGAAAGTTATATCACGACAGATTTCGTAATCGTGCTCTGCCAAACCAGAAGACATTTCAACGAATTGAGCAACGCCGCAATTAGAGGTAAATATTTTAATTACTGTAGAAGAAACTCCATCAACGAAATTATCAGCTCAGTTTAATACATTGAAAACAATAGTATATGAAGTTTTTCAAGAACAGCTGTTATATTCATACCATTTGCAAAAAATACATTAACTGATTCCTGAAGATTTTCCTCGTAGAATGCAGTTTGCAAACTGGCTATTGGATCAGCAACGAAATAATGTAAACTTCATTAGCACTATTCTTTTCACGGATGAAGCAAGGTTTGCCAAAAATGGTATCACCAATTTACTCAACACGCATGTATGGGCTGATGAAAATCCTCATGCCACTATTGTTTCGCATCATCAACATCAGTTCCAATCAATTAACATCTCGGCAGGAACCACTGGCAATTTTTTTATTGAACCATTCATATTGCCGGAACGATTGAATGGACAACTTTATTTGGAGTTTCTTCAGAACACTTTTCAAGATTTAATAGAATTTAATAGAAAATTTAATAGAATCCGCCGAAACATGTACCTCATGCACGATAGGGCATGCAAGTTTCAGCGTTGGTGTGCGGGAGCACCTGAATAACGTCTATCCAAACCGTTGGATAGGTAGAAAAGGACCTATTGCCTGGCCTCCTCGATCTTCCGACCTAACGCCTCTGGATTTTTACGTGTGGGGACACCTTAAACAATTGGTGTATTCCACTCCGGTCGACACTAGGGAGGAACTTCTACAGAGACATTTCATTGTGATGTGATAAGGAACAATGCGGGGTTATTGTGGCGGGTACAGCAGTCCTCAATTCGTCGTGTCCCCGAGTGTATCAGCCTTCACGGAGCCCATGTTGAACCCTTTTATGAAGTTTTTCAATAATTTCGTTAAGATATTTCCTGGAACACCACTGCGTTTTTTTAATTTTGTATTTTTTCGGATTAAACATCTTAAAATAAAACTTTTCTATTATTTGAATGACTTTCGTATCGCACCATGTTGTCGAGGAAAAAAAATAGAAATTATGGCCCTTTTTATTAAAAATAAAACATGAATTCGTTTATTATTCTTTTTCTCGTAAACAATTCATTTTATCGACAATAAACAAGAGTACTATTTTTTAGTCTAAGGTGGTCTAAGGCTGAAGCTACCCAGATTTATTATTTTAAAGTTTTTATCATACAGGGTGTTAAAAATGTAAGCATTAAGTTGTAAAGCTTAGCCCGCCCTATTTGCACCCGAGATATTTCCCACATAATTTTAAATTGTACATACAACCAAACGGAAATTTTAGGTGAATCGGTGCGTCACTTGCGTCACCTGGCGAGCCGCTACTGCAGTTGTAAAATAACGTGGTGTAAGAAGATTTAGAATTAAAAAATCACCAAACAGTTTTTCCAGAAGAATGTCCCTTAAAATAATCGTAGCAGGTAAATTGAAATAAATATGTAAAAAATATGTATATTAATTTTAAGAGTTCTCATGTCATTGCAATTTACCGTTTTCCGAAGGCAATAATGTAGAATGAAAAACGTTTTATACTTTCTGAGCTTACCTCAAGACCCCTTAAGGGATTTCCATCCAAATATGTTATATTCACTACATTAAAATACATAAAAGACATAGACTCAAGAAACGGTAACTGATTATAATCGAGTCTCAATGTGTCTAGATTTAACTGAAAATTCAAATTTATGTTAACTCCTGGCTCAGTAACGGGCGACATCTTGTTAATTCGATTGTAACTCAAATCGAGCGTCTTCAGAGTTCTCAACGGTTGCAGTGCTAAATAGGGAATTGAACTTAGTTGATTGTCTGCTAATATTAAATGAGCAAGTCTTCCCATTCCGTCACGGAAAATAGATGGATCAATTTCTCTCAAATTGTTTCCTCTTAAATCTATAATTTCTACCATGGGCAAGCCAGAAAATGAGTCCAGCGGTAGCTGAGTTATAGAATTTTCGGAAAGTATAAGGACTTCTAGTGAATTCTCTAATCCTCTCCAGTCTTCTGGTAAGATTTTGTTAATACCATTCCCTACAAAAAAAAATGTTTATGCTCAATCGTTGGTAAAATTAATATTAAAGCTGTTACTACTATTAACTGCCACGTAGCAAATTATATATTTTTTTAATTAGGTAATTTAATATTTCCGAATGTTTTCTTTTTTAACAAGAAAATCATGCTTGTATGCGAACAGTAAAGCAAAGACACACCTGATAAATTTAATAGTCTTAATTTTTGCAAATATCTTATTGCTCGATTAGGAACATGACTCAGTTCACAATGGCTAATTTCCAATTCCCACAAAGATCTTTCCAGTCCAAGAAAAGCTTCATCCGATACCAGTGTTAAAGGATTTCTGCTTATTATAATTTTATACAAACCTAAAACAATGTGAAGGTTATACACTGATATAATTTTGAATTATAAGGCATCTAAATACCTGTACTTTGCAAAAAATAGGGGGATAATGTTCTCAGTCCGTTATTCTCTAGGTGCAACATAAATACTTTGGAGGTATTAACTGCTTCGGGTATTCTTGGTAAGTGTACATTTTGACACTGAACTATTCCTAAGTCTGGTACCGATTTAGAACAACTACACAAAGGATTGAAGAAACATGGCGGATAATATACAGAATCCATTTCTCTGGATTCAATCATAGACACCCATACCATTAAAATGAATGTTCCTATTACTAATGCGTATCCAATTTTCATAATTTGTAATAAATCCTGTAAAAAATGTATTTCAGAAAATGAGTGGTATGTAGTTAATTTAATTTCGAAAAACATAATTTGAATATCAAAATTAATCAGATGTACAGCTTGACCAAATTACTAGAGTAACACCGCAGCTCATTTTCTGATTAAACGTCGAATGGTGAACATCAGTACACATAACATAACACAGAAAGTACCTGCCCTACTATTAAGATCTCATATCTTTGTCACTGCGAACTCGTTTCTTAATTTGCGCATCTTGTGGACAAGATAAGTGTAATCAAGCTGTATCTATTTCAAAAAAACGTCAGTGGTAATCAGTTCAAACAGCACAACAGACATTGAGCATACCCGCAGTCATGTTATAACGTCACGTGGAGAGTAAATAACGATTTCTGGATATTGTCTGTGCCGGAGTGTGAGGTGTGAGTTAATACTGCGAATCTATATAACTTGGCTTCCTTATCGTGTGCGTTCTAAAGTGGTATAAATTTCATATTTATATTGATGCATGTTTGTAATTGATAAAACTCTTCTGAATATTTACAGGATTGTGTAGTAATAATGACTTCTTGAAATGTACTAAGTGACACGAGCTTGTTTGATAGGTAATAAACCTAAATCTCTAAAAGACAGATACTGTACACAGTACGGTTCACTGATTCAATACCACAGGCACATCTTGGACATACGATGACAAAATCAGTCCTACAAATCTGTAGTCATTGATAGGTCCGGAAACCTCCTACTTCCCAAACCACCAAAATCTGCTACAACTTTACATTTAGCAGATTTCTCTTTGAATATAACCCTGCAACGGAGTCTGCCGGCACGGTATGCCTGAAAGCCAACTGCAACAATAAGTGACTTCAATGTCTGAAGGCAGTTGTCAGTGAGTCGAGTGTGCGAACGATCTTGGAGAGGATTTCTTTTTTCCTTTTAAACGTCTACACGTAACCGGCAATATATTTTCAAGATTACCTTGATGGTAATATCAAGGTAGATGGAATTTAAATATAACGGCAGATATTAAAAAAGATACACAAGGGATACAAAAGGAGAACGAATAGCAAAAAAAAACACTGTTTTGATTTAGTGCAACCTTGAGGTGCACTTTTATAACTAATCAATTTTCTCGATTCACTCGCAACTAGTTGCAGAGATTTCAGGTAAACAATGATTACAAATACTCTTTTACAGGGCTGTATCCAAAGAGAATTTTATCTTCAAAACCTGAGGTTACGGAACTGATTTTATCTTTGTATGCCCAAGACATGCCTGCCGCATTGAGTAGATCGTACTATGTGATGTGCCTGTCTGTGAATTAGGAACGTATGTTCAGATAGTGCTGTGTGAGTTAGTGGATCTCGTTGTCTCCGCTGTAAATTCGTGGTTTGAGTTTGTGACTTTAATCCACCGAATGTAGAATTTTAGCTGATTTCTTTTTAGGGATGGTGTTCATCCGAAGCTGAAGGGTTGCAAGTGTTAAATAAATCGTTGAATACCCAAAATCCATAGCTCGTTTCCAGGGCTCCATTCAAAGATAAACCTACTGGATGCAAAGTTTTGTTTTTTTTTTGTTTCAGTAGCCGTTCTTAGCAATTTAAAAAACTGGTTGGTGATGGAGAAGTTTCCATGCCGATTCGGTTCTTGAGGGCCAAAATACATACATAGGGATTAATGTCAGAAATAGAGTTGCTCTCTGGAGTATAAATAATATTTTCTAAAGATCGTCTGAGACTTATGAAATATTATTTTCCCGAAATCGGATTCAAAAGTTCTAATATACAGAGTGATTCACAAACCGTGACCACAAATGAAACCTTGTATTCTTTGATGAATTTTAAGGGGAGCCTTTCGTATAAAGTTTTTATCTGGGACGCTTCGTTAAAAAGATACAGGGTGTTAAACTTAAAAAATATGTTTTTAACTTTTTAAATAATTTAAATTTTTGTACAGAAATGTAAAAAACTCAATCACCGAAAGCCATTATTATAATTTTTATTGTGCCCTTCTGCTCTACAACGTACACTTACTGAATTTAACTACCTAGGTATTTTTTTTCAATATTTTCACTTATTCGTTTTTTTTCATTTGTTTTAGTATATGTTCTATTATTCTTGTGTTATTTCTTTCTTAAACTTTACTTTAATTTATATTAAACAAACTCTTTCATTTTAAACCTTATTTATTTTTCTATTTCTTATATTTTCTGAGATCATAATGACCTACTAGGTAGGATATCAGACATAGTCATAGGTTGCTTTCAAATATTTTTTATAAAATTTATGAAATTTTTAATGAGATATTTTATTTTATTGAGAATTATTTTACAATTAAATTTTCTTACTTATAGTAACAAAATATTATAAATCTTAAATAATCACTTTATTATTATGAAGTAGAAACCAAGACTTTATACATATAGTTCAGTAAATAACTCTCTGCCGCTGTTGTGTTTCAATAATACAAAACTGTTACTTTATTATAAACGTTTGTAAGAAAACGAATTATTGATAGCAATAGTTCGTTTTCTTACAACTTACATAAATATGCAAATAAGCAAATATTACGTCCACAACCTACCACAAATATTTGAAAATATAACATGATTTCTTCATTGAATGTTTTTTATGATTAATGAATGAAATAGTGTAGTTAATTATAAAGGAAATCGTAGGCGGGAAATGAATTGTTTAATAACACAATCGTAGTAATTATTATCATTAAAATTTAATCATACGTGCCATTAATAAGGAAGAAGGTGAGATTTTAATGGATTTAATGATTACGAGAACAATATAATTGTCAAACGTTAATTAAACAATTCTGCTAATAGAAATATCTAAAGATACAGAGCGATTTCAATTAATTTTCTTTTTAAAATGATCTTCGATCTTCTCCCTTTTAATAAGAATAAGTAATGGAAAAGTTTTAAATTTTATTTTATACTCTTCAAATAATGCAATAAATATATGTATATAGATATATTGCAGGCTCATGGCTCATGGGAAATATTGGACAAAATTCTCGCCACTCGCCAATTTTCATCGTCTGTGATTTTTTTTTTGATAATCTCGTGGTAATCTGAATTTTCATATTCCGGTAAGGTTTTTTTGAAAAACCCTTTTTTTAATGCTTAGGGAGCGCCCCAACATCAATGTCGAAGAAAATATTTTTAAATACTCAATGTTCAGTTGTAGAAAAAAATGTTTAAAAGGTATCTGCTATTAATAAAATTCATAATAATCAATTTTATTAATAGCATACTTTTTAAACATTTTTTTCTACAACTGAACATCGAGTAGGTATTTAAAAATTTTTTCTTCGACATTGATGTTGGGGCCTCCCTAAGCATTAAAAAAACGAGTTTTTCGAAAAAAACTCACCGGAATATGAAAATTCAGATTACCACGAGATAATTAAACAAAAAATCACGACGAGACTATGAAAATTGGCGAGTAGCGAGAATTTTGTCCAATATTTCCCACTGTGCGACGTCGGAAAAAGTAGTAATAATTTTAAGTTTTATCCGAAATCGTATATTCTTTAACCTTAGTTTTTATTTTTTTTTAACATACTACGATTGTTGTTTGATTACAGTCAAATAAATGTTATATTATAATGACGAATGTAGAAAATATAATACTACGTATATTATCTGTGATATATACCTATGGTTGTCATTTGAAAATGTTTCACCTTCATCTTCCATGGTTCTATACTTGATTTCTATGAGATCAATTTCGGATGCATGTGAATTATAATATTATCATGTTATCATTATATTCTCTCTTTTTTTCCTCCTTCACCACCTAATCATGCTTTTCTTGGATGTCATACTTGAGGCATTCTATAAACATGACCTAACCATCTTGCTCTCGCCATCTTTACTACGGTTGCTATACTCAGGCTATTGTATTTTTCGACTACTTCATTATTTGTCATCCTTCGTTGTCCATCTTAATCTATACCTAATACCTTCAAGAATCCTTAATATTTTCCTTTCCCATATATCATAATCCAAATTTCACTTTCATATACTACTGATGCTCTAATCACTGTCCTGTAAGCTCTTAATTTAGTTTTCTTTCAAATGCTTTTTAATTTTAGAAACGTATTTATTGTTTCTGCTGCTTTACATCCTTTTGCTATTCTTTTGTCAATCTTCTTGTCTTCATCATAGTTACTAGTCAATGCGACTCCCAAGTATTCAATTTCCTGAACTCTTTCAAAGTTATGTTTTTTATTTTTAACACTAATTCTTAAATTTTCTTCATCTGTACCTACACTTCCGTTCTTATTACCATATATTTTGTTTTATTTTCATTCGCAATTAATCCACAGTTCCTTGATGTTATTTACAGTTTTTCAAATACTTTCTTTAGCTCGAATTTAGTTCTTGCCATAATCACAATATCATCTGCAGAAGTTGGCTTGCTTGATGGTCACAATAATATATTAATATATTATATTATTGACTTGGATTTTATTTTCTCTCGTTATCATTTGTAGAACTAGATTAAACGAAGTGTAGAATGGGTCACCTTCAGACCAATATTAACTCCAAAAGATTTTGATATTGGCCCCTCAACTGTCACCTTACTGTTTGTATCATATAATGTTAGTTTTATTAAATCTATCAACATAACCGCGACTTTATATTTTTGCAACACCTTCTACAAAAAAAATGTTTAATTAAAATTATTTCAGATTTTAATCTAATTTGAAAAATAAATCTCGAAATACAGAAATAGATTTTAAAAAATGGTGTTTAATTTAAATTATTATTAGTTACCTATCTACCTAGGAGCAATTTTTGGTAAATGTAAAGAAAACAAGTTTTAAATAAAACATTCTTTTCCGTAATGCGTGTTTCTCACAATGATGACAATAAAATGAAAATTCACAACTAAAAGCATAAAAAGCTAAGCTGATAAACTTTTTTATGTTAGGTAGGTAAATAATTTCTGGGACGTCGTCGGTTTAAACGTCTTGAGGTTTCGAGAAACATACGACTGTCTTCTTCTGATGAAATTCTGCAACTGAAGATTAAATCCTTCCAATATTTATATTTACTGTGTGTACCCACTGGCCCAGAAATTGAGGAAGGAATCCTACTTCATCAAACGGAGGAAAAAAGTCAACGAGTATTCTTAAACCGGTGTCAAATAATTTGACCGCACAGGGATTTTTTAAATAAAAATGTCGTAATCGACGCAAACCAAGAACGCTACATCAAGCTAGCATCTCCCTTCTGCGAGAGAGCATGGAAAACATCAAGAAGCAGCTAGAGAAAATGAGAGGAACGTTCTGAGAATTCAAAGATTTTGTGGTTACCAACAAATTAAACAGATATTT